CCGTTTCCATGACAATGCCTCACCCCCCCCCCCCCCCCCCCCCCACCGCTTCACACCACCTCTTCCTCCCTTTAAATGTCCACATCTGTGCGAATTCCTTCCAGCAGCTGCTACTGGCTCAGCAAGTAGAGTTGACGCAACACTAGGCTGGGATGACGAGGGGGGGCGGGTGGCCACTTCCTTTCATGATACATGCCCCCACGTGCATCTCGTAAGGCACTCCACGTTCCGCCTGGATCACTGTGTTCCCCACACAGCTCTCACAGGATGTGTGAAGCTGGACTGTTGCAGTATCTCGAAGGAGGCCGGTTGTACTTTTCGGGCCGCATTGTTCCGGTCTGCTGCTCTTCTGATCACTTCAGGTCCAGCCCTGCAGCAGCTGTTGCGAGAGTCTCGATTTTTCCAAGAAAGCCAAAGAATTCTCAGGAAAAGTAAAGTGACGTAAACCGAAGCCAGCGATACTGGTGGGTGGCATAAGCCTCGCTCAACGGGCCTCAGCCAACAAGGCAAGCATTGGCGTCTTTGGCACCATATGAAGATGCTTTTGGGGCAGCCAGTAAAGTGGCACTTAAAATAACACAGGAAGCCCGGGGCAGGCCCGCTGACACAAGCAGCCATCAACATATTTTCAATCCTTGAAATCAGTGCCATAAATTAACATTACGTAATTAACACATCTAAAACCTAAAAATTAGTTTATCATGTGACGGGGGAATGAAATATTGAAATTATTCATGATTCTTTGTAGTCAGAGATTTCTGGGCGCATCTAAATTTTCTTGCGCCAACAATGCTGATTTTTTGATGAAAAAAATGTATAAATCAGGCCGTCCAACGTGGTAGAGCAACTCAGGCTGGGCTTATGCATCCAAAATCAAATAAATACCCATGACTGTCCCTCGGGCCAATAACATAAGAGGTTCCTTGATGTTTCAGCCAATAAAGTTGCCAAGAGTCTTCCTCCAGATTTAACCCTACCAAAAAAGTATGCGCTATAAATCAATCGAACAAGTCCAAAACATACCACAGCCCCCAATTCCTTTGGGGAACCGCAGGGATCAGCTGTTAAGAACGTGTTATATTTTAGCAGCGTTTAAACAATTCTAGTTACAATTATGAGAAATCACCTTTGCATATTCCTTAACCAGCCTTCTCCTACCTGCCTACAATGGGCAAGTAAGCACCAGACGTAGAACATGGAGCAATGAAAGAAGGTGGCATGGTTTGATGAGTCACCTTTTCTGTTACATCATGCGGACGGCCGGAATCCGGCAGAGGAAGTGTGATGGTCGGGGAAATGGTCTCCGGGGAACCCTTGGGTCCCAGCATTCATGGATGTTTCTTTGACACGTTCCACCTACCTAAATATTGCTGCTGACAAAGTGCACCCTTTCACGGCAACACTATTCACGGAAGGCGGTGGCTTTTCAGCAGGTCAACGCACCCTTCCACACTGTAAAAATGGTTCAAGGACGGTTTGAGGAACATGCACACACAGAAAAAAAACAGTCGGAGGTGTTGACTTGGCCTCCGGATTTCTCAGACCCCAATCCGATCAAGCGTCTGTGGGAAGTGCTGGACAAACAAGTCCGATCCATGGAGGCTCCACCTTGCGACTGACAGGACGTAACGGATCTGCTGCTAACATCATGGTGCCGGATGCCACAGCACACCTTCAAAGGTCTTGTGGAGTCCATTTCTCGACACATCAGAGCTGTTTTGGCGGCACAAGGACATACACAATCGTAAGCTGGTGGTTTTAGTGTTATGGCTGGTTGATGTTCGGCACCTATTTAGCCATCTGAAAATTAAACTATTGAATAACAAAGGACATCAGTAGTTTCTACCAATGTTTCATCCCCAGCAGGCCTGTTTGTGTCCACAATCTCCTTACATACTACAGGAGACCAGTTCAGCAGAGTTTCCTGAAGGAGACAAACTGCTTCAACGTGGGGGTTGGAAATGTTCTGAAACATGACAAGACTCGGGCCAAAATTTCAGAACATTACATCTGCCGGCTTTTATAAAACACGCCGAAAGTCAGGAAACAAATCACTGTCACAATATTTCTCCCTGTCGCCTAGACAACTCTTCTAAAATAAACTCGGCAAGGCTGGCTGTGAGGACCGTCACCCGGAGACCAGGCAGTATCCAGTGTCACTGGACTGGCTCTCAGTTGCCAGCACAGTTGCGTTTCATTCCTGCATAATAAGCACAATAAATAATCCCAGAATAAGTTAGCTGATGATTACTTGAAAAAAAGAGGAAAAAAAGAGAACTTTTATCTCATAGTGAAATCCAACCAAATATGTTTTATATTAAAATATTACTTTCAATAGTCAACAAAGGCAGAGAAGCACAGCCCAGAGGGGTGTTATTTTTTACCACACTAAGCTAGAGATGCACCGATTAACCAGTCAGGGACAGAATCGGCCGATTTTCAGCATGCTCGGCCTGTACCAGAGACCGGCCAGTCAGTCTCATGCATTTCCCATACCGAACTGGTCCGTTTTACGCATGCACCACGTCATCCACACAGCGGCGCAGGCAAAGGCCATGCAGCTGCACGCTAACATGCTGTTATCATGGAAGTTCTTTACTGAGAGTGAAGACGACACAAAGCTTGCAACCGTGGGGGAACCAACATGAAAATGTGGTGAAACATCACAGGTAAACTTTAGACTGATTAAACTCATTATTAAACATATACTAGATAATCATCAAAAGGAATAATCATTAAAAAAAAAAATCCTATGACAGAGTAAAAATGTTTTTCAGTTAATTATCTGGACGTCTTTCCAGTGACAGAGGACTTTATTTTGAGACTCGTTTAAGTGAGAGATGATCCTGTAACTTAGTGCAGTTTGAGGGAAACTGTAAAGTATAACATTTTTCTTTTTATTATGAAAATAAAATGTTTCATTGAAAAGTTCATTTTTGTTTGTATATGCTGTCAATTATAGTTCTTAGAAAGAAAATCGTAATCTGCAAAAATCAGTATGGGCAGGTCACAGTCGGGGGGGGGGAAATCAGAAATCGGAATCGAAATTGCAGCTGGTGCATCTGGACTCTAAACCAAGGAATAACAGTGATCTCTGAGAAGAACGTCATGGTTTGCATGATGACCGGAGCGTATGGTGCGTACAGCAGAGGACGGTCAGGAATATCACTGTTTTATCATTAGATAAACTGCGTATATAGGTTCTAATATTTGATTTCAGGCAAGCAGCACAAGAAATCAAGACTGTTTTGGTTAGCAGTGATTTAGAGGGAAATTAGATTTATGTAACAACCTGACAGAATATGTGTCAGGTAGTAAATGAGGGTGAATGACATGGAAGTTTTATAAGCAGGAAAAATATGTCATTATCTGCATAACATGGTATGGGAAATTATTTTTAATTTTTTAACACAAAGAAAATATACAAATAATATAGGAGAACAATACAGCAAACTTAAATTAAACTCCACCCAATATTTATGGAAAAAAAAACATATGACTCATGATGACTCGGTAACTAAAACGTTTTACCAAAGTAAATTCTGGGGAATAAACTGAAACATTCTAAAAACCTAAGTGCTACCTTATTTCCACTATGAAAGCAGTTATATAATTTGATTAAGGCTACTTATTCAGAAAAGTCCCTTTATAGGCACTGAGTACTTCTCTCTAATAGTTTCCTGAAACTGATACCAATTGCTTTATTCTTTGGTTCCATTTTAAAAGCTACACCATGATGAATTGCATACCGGGAAGCAAAAGTTTATGAATTAAAAGAACGGCGACTATTAAACAAGACTATAAAGTGAAAGTCGTTAGGTCATTACAGAGACATAAGATTTTCATTTAAAACACAAGACTACTCACACATACAGTACATCTTCCGGACGATTAACTTTTTAGAGGTAGGTCTGACAAGTTCCCTGTGCTAACGCAATGTCTCAATATTATGTTACCAACCCCTATACAAATACACAGAGCAGCAACAACTATTTTTTATTTGGCCAAAGCTGTGTGGATTAGTATGGATAGATATGCTGTTGGACTATATGCCTTTTATTGACATTTGAATGCCAATAATGTTGTTTTTAAGGGCTCCTGATTTAGGCACTGTCTTAGATACTTTCTATATAACCAGTTATAAAGTGTGGTGGTACTTTGCCTTAAAAATAGCCTGAGTTTTGTATATGACTTTTACAATTAAAATGTATTTGGACTAATACCCTGATAAAGTAATTTCAATTGACAGCTGAAGAATTCTCAAGATTCTGCTTATATCAGCGTTACACACACACACACACACACACACACACACACATACACAATTTCTTAATGACTTGCCTGTCCCTTGGTGCAATAATATTTAATTTTGAATTACACAACTGAAATTGTGACATTGTATTAATATAATCATCATAAAACTTAAGCAGTAATACAGAACCTTCGGGTCATAGTGTCTAGTTCCGGTTACTGTGGAAATTTTGTACTGACTGTCATTCAACTATGTATTAATTTCTTTCTATATCTGATATAAAATCATCTGGGCACCTGAGTTTTAATATTCAGAAAATAAGCATTTGTTGACATTTTCCCACTTCAGTTACTGCATTTTCAAAACACCCATTCATTGGGCTGTTTTACACTGTAACATATACTGTTACCTTGCATAAGGGAAAAAAAATAGGAGAATAAAATTTCTAGTAAATACGCTTGAACAAACCATACAAGTATTACCGGATTGTCAAAGCAGCCATTGCTAGGGCCGACTTACGCTGCTGCTTCCCTTTGTTTTTCTCGGTCAGAATCTGCACATGTACTTCACAGATTCTCCATGCAGGTTTAGCTTCAGGGCGCACAGCTAAACGCTCAGGACACACTGACACTCACAGCTGCCACACTCAGCTATCCAAATACCCATTTCTAATCAGCTGCTTGAGGAAAGATCTTGAGACCATAACACAGAAATCTACAACTGGAGGGCAAGTCCGGATGATTTTTTTTTGTTTGTTTAAACCTAAGCACTTTGGTCAGAGTGGACCAAATTCACTTATTCAATGTGCATGACTGTCATATTTTAAAAATATTATGTAATGCTTTACATTAACTGCACCTTCATAACGCATGCACCACACTATAACAATCCTTACTACATGTTGTATGTGTACAATTGTGTACGTGACAAATAAACCTCTTGAATCTTAATAACAAACATTATATAACAATGTTTGTTATGAAGGCAGGCAGAGAGACAGACAGACAGATAATCAGAGCAGCATAATTTCTGTGAGATTGTTGCGGAACATGGGGAGAGCTTCCCAGGGATAGGACATGCATGAGACTTTCACTGCTTTTTTCATGAGTCGTGCACTTTAAAGCCACAGTATGAATGTACAGGTGTGGCACCCACTGAGAGAGACAGAGTGGGGGGGGGGCTTCTTAATATAAACACAATGGTGCATTTATTGGGGGAATGAATGAACCCAAATGAAACGCTGGGGGTTCGGCCCCCTGCTCCCTACACCACTGTATCTGTGTATTTTAGAAGTTCAAATGCAAAATGAATAAGGTGATTCACAACTGTCGGATTTGTCGGAATGCAGCGGCGAGCGAGTCTTGTCACAAGACAACATAGCGAGGGAACGAAAGACTTAATGATTTCCCACCCTGTCCCTTTAGGGGCTCCATGGAAACCAATTTTTGGCAGAGTGCGGCTAGATTCTGTTTGTAAGTAGACTGGCTATGTTGTCTATCAGCCTACAGTTACTTTACCATGTTGAAAGTTCCTTCACTCGTTAATGCAGTACAATGGAATGAAACATAAATACAAAACCTGACAATGACATAAATTGGCAAGAGAACGACATTAAAACTAAATTAAAAGCTTGAGGCCTTTTTTATTCTTGTATTATTGGTGTATGCTTCTGTTGTTGAATAAGAAGCAGCTAAATTCAATGCACGATTAATGATTTTTGAATTGTGATCTTGATTCAAATGCCTAAGTGATCTTCTAGAGTTGAGTCATGACCTCATTCTTCTGCCGAATTCTGCCATGTTTGCATTACCAGGAAGATCCACTGTATAAACCAAGCACTCCCACTTTTTCCCTGAGCCATACCAACAAATGACAAGACCGCGTTACACCACATGACAGTAAGAGGGGAAAGAAAAACAGGTGTTGTATTAAAAAGCAGACAAGCTAGATTTGTAGGCCAAATTTAAAAATGAATTATAAACATGTCACGGGCCGGAACTCTGAGACCTTATAAGTGCTGAACGAGCCGATGCAATGCCTCATCCTCCAGTACAGAAAATGCTTGATCATCCAATGCAATTACCTCCATTATCTCAATTGTTTTGTGTTTCACTTTGATGCTGCTAACTTTGACTATTGATAACATTTAATATCGGCCAAGATTGGTCCGATGCCAATATCTTGAGTTCTAACAGATATTGGCTAATACTAATACATCACACATCAAGGTGTTGTTTGTTCCATCTTCACAAAAATATGGGCACCACTTAATAAGGCTCCTTTTGCCACTTGTAAATGGTAGCAACAAATTAACAAAAAGAAAACTGTTATAACTTGTTTAAAATTGTCTATTAATAATTTACAAAGTGTTATAACCTAATTAATAACCAGATTATAAACCATTCATAAACGCTTTATATGGGTAGCCTTATTGTAAAGTGTCACCAAATGAGTAAATAAGAACAACTGTAATAGTAATAACAATACTGAGAGAGACCTCTAACTTAATAGGCCTATCATGAGAGAGAATTCTTATTGGTAGAATTCTCAATTCTGAGTGGGGGGACACTATTCAAATTTTAGCCAATACAGCAAAGCCTTACAAAAACTTTATTTTACTTTTGCATACTGTTTTCTACAACTTGCAATTATTGTTGAAAGACTGCTGTCACAGTTGCCTGTATTTGGATTTGTAATGTATATGTGCTGCATGTGTTTTAGCTGGAGCAAAATGCACAGTAATCATCTCCTGGTTTACTGTCTGGTTTACTACAGGTCGTCAAGTAATTCAACGACGGTAGCCATTATAAATATATTATTGTCAAATTTGCAAGAAGAAATTAGTCTAAACATATACAGAGAACATTCGTATGTTACTAAGGCAGAAAGAAAAGGACTTTTTTTATTTGGCCAATTCTATTTTGTAATCAATTAGTGGCTACATAATTAAATGAAAAAAGGTTTCAGCTTCAAATGTTTTAAATGTTCTGGATGTAACTAAGCACCTCCCAGTAACCTGCTTGCCCTTTATATGCTTATAAAATGTGTGGTACATCCGGCTCCATGTTTGTTTTGTGGGGGTGTGAATCCATTAGTCCATTTTCATTCCATTGCACCTTGGGAGATTGAAACTTATTTATTGGAAAATAAAAGTGATAAGTATACAGGATAAGGAGCAATTTCTAAAATTGATTTTTTTTAGATAACTTTTTGAACTGATGAATTTCAGAACTCGAGTTTATTAAAATACACACATACACAAAAACAGAAAATTATGGAAGATACACCTAATTTACAACTGAAAAGAAAACAAAACAGCTTATGAGGCATGGCTCCGTAATTAAATCAACTGCAAAAACAAACCACATGGTTAGTTCAGAGCATTTTACACGTTTCATTGAACACTGCACTGTCTGATCATATTAATACATCTGTAGTTATTTGACTCTTGGTTGAAAAGGATATGGGCTTTAATTTTAACAACAGCTACCTTTGTTGACGGCAAAAGATACACGAAAGAGACTAAAATGCGTTTAGGTATAAAAGGAACATATATTTAGCTAATTATGTTACCCCCATTAAGAAAGTAGATTTTGCTAGCTAAAGGGAGGCTGTCTTTAATGCATCGCATTAAAACTGCGGCATTAAGTGCACGACATATGAACAAAGGAAACATAAAGCGAGCATACTCACCTTCGTACATCGAAAGGCATGGTGTTTGCAAGTTTTCGAACAGAGTATTTAAAAACGCAAAGTTAAAATACTTAAGGAAAGGACTGCTCAGATGCTCACTTCAATCCTGCCGGCTGCTCACACCGGGAGTGACGTCACCCTAGGACGCTTTGCAAAATCTGATTGGATGCCGGTGGGTGCCACGCGTATGATTCTTTTTCCGGTTCCACCTTAAAGTTGTATGTACACGTTTCAAGAAAATCCTTGGTGATCTGTGTGTGTGTTTTCGGGCATTCCCGTCACTACTGACTGTCCATGAGACCGTAGAAAAGACACGCACAGTATGTTTCAGGAAGAAAAGAGTGTTAGGAAATTATGAATAAAAATTGTGGTGTTTCCACTGACTTTGAAACAAGTTTGTTATGTAAGCATTTTATACATTTTGAAGACCAGACTGCTTTAATATTCACATTGTAATATAAAGTCAGACTGGATAACGCCTAAATTTTGTAATAACTGGTGATGGTGCTGGTAAATAAGGATGTGGGTGATCTGAACATAGATTATATGAGGTCTCGAGTCCCCCCTCCCCTTTTATCAGTTAAACTTAAGTCTCCCACCGCATACTTGATCAGATTTTCTTTCTGTGTTAATACTTATCACTGATATGTTAATTTGATTAAATAATTAAATAAATAAGTGGCTAGTGGAATATAATCCAGAATTACAGATGGATACATCTTAACTTTTTACCTTTAAAAAATTGTAAAACAAAGGTTTTAAACAAACAGGTAATAGTATTGGTGATAGTATTTTCCAGCCAGCCACTCTTAACACTTAAGCAGGACTTAACTACAACTCAGACAAATAATGTGTAACAATTAGGAAAATAAGCTACTTAAGAACCAGGGCATTCGTTTAAAATGAGTTACACTGAAAAGGTAGACAACAATAAAAAAAATATCTCTCCTTTATATTTTTGTCTAAGGTACTGGAATTATGTTTGTCTGGCACACATTTCTTGCTTTCTTCCAGTCAACTGAATGCAGAAGACCAAATTTTTAAGTAAAAGAGGATTTAGAACTTCCCAGACCACACAACCCAGAGTAAATATTAGAGATGGGATGTTGAGAACAGCAAGGACAGGCCTTGTACTTCCCCAGCTTTGTGTTTTTTTTTTATTACTGTTGCTGTAGTAACTCCTGACAGTAAATGGTCAGAAACAGCGACAGTGACCCGCAGTGAAAACTCTACACAGGAAGCAAGATGGAGTCAGTTCTTGTTTCAGTTCCCTTTCAGTCTGAGAAAAGTGTAAAGGGAAAATAAATCTTCACTGGTTATCGAGGGACACTGATGAGCTCCAAGCAGATATCTATGTGTAACTTCGTATGACTGTTTACACTGACTTTGGACAAAGGGGGGAACCACAGGTCACATGACAAGAAAACTATATTTGGCCAAAATGCATATGGACTATTTATATCTTCCTGATTTCGTAATACTTTTCTAAGTATTTCTTCTCTAAGATTCAAATCACTGCATTGATAAAAAAATTTCCCCGAAATTGAACTGATATTCCAAATTCCCATGAAGTTCCCATACCCCTCCTTCCGTACGGGAAGCACGTGTGGGTACAGCTTGTATTAGGAACTTTCATGTCCCCGCCCATCATCATGACGCTCATTTGTATCATGTTTCATGACTGATTCATCACTGAAGTTCTGACAGTAAGCATGAACCACAGGTTCCCCTAAACTCAACCTTGTAACTACTAGCTTTTTTGCTTCTTTTTCTTTCTCCTGTATTCGCATTTTTTGATGACACAAGAATGAAAAAGCCTCTGTACTAGTGGTAGGCTACCGTGACTCAAAAGCCATAAATGTAAAGCTGACATAATGTTCTATATTTGTGTTTCCGTTTTGGACTCACGGCACAGCCTGCGTTTACTTAGAAAAAACATTATGAAAAACAGTACCTGAAATGAAGCCTTTAAATGTCATAACATATTAAAACAACATTTTTAATAAATTATTAAACTAAATAAGGAAAACCTATGTTTTAAAAGTGATATTTTAACCATCTCCCTCCTTTGTTTGTAAATATAGCATAAATATATTTACATACACAATACATACATACATTTTACCCTTGTCAAAACAGCTTATTCGCATTTAGACCAAGCATAAATACTATTAAATATTTTGAAAAAGTGACTTTATTTATTTATTTGTTTGTTTGACACATTTATATCATCAAATTAAACATTCTATATTTTGTTTATGTAAAATGTGAGTTGTTGCTGTCTGACAATGTTTCTGTTTCTATTAGTTTGTCAGAATCCACATTTCTGTGATTAGGTCAATATAATTAACCATTTGTAGTCTTTCATATTCAACACAATGGACTGGGAACTCTATGATAATTCAAATTAATGTCATTATACCAAGCAGAATGGCAATTTTAATCTACATTTAAGAAATTTCTGATACAGTCAAGCTAAAAATGTCAAGCAGCAGTGAAAGATACATAACATATAGTAATATAGACTTAAATGACTACTTTAGGTACACTTCTTCCATTTTTGGTCACGGATTGAAGAATAATAAGGATGCATCATAACAATCTGGTTTGTCTAGATGAGATCCTAAGCAACAAAAATTATTGACAGACATAATTATTGGGATTGTTTGCCCAACTAACAAATAACATTCAAAAAACTCTCTTGAGAATTGTGTGTTGTGTCAGCATGCCTTAGTGTGAGGTCACAAAAGCTATCCTACACACCAACATTTGTTTCCTTTCTTTATCACCCTTTAAACAATTGGTTGCTAAATGTAACCTGACTAACTGGATTTGTCATGATGAGTAAATAATCACGAATGGCTACTTGTCAAAACAAGTTTCTCATCTGTTGCTGTGTCACCATAAGGCCAGCGTTGTGTTTTCAACTACATGGAAATTTACCAGACCTCAAGTTTTTGTACAGTGATTAACTTTTATGGTTTACCTTTGCTCTCTCAACATTAGATGTACAATAAAAACACAGCATAAATTTTTATTGGCACCAAGAAAGGCAGTCACTTTTGTATTTTCACTAGTCAGCTCACATCTGAAAAGGGGTGTAAAAATACCCAACAAACATGGAATTTTCCCCTAGGAAAGAGGTCACTCTACTTTGTTACCGTTATTCTACTTTGTTACCGATTTCATATTCCCAAACATTGTGGAATTATTTCAGTTACCTACAACATTATTTAACCTGGTCAGAACTGTTCTGGTTAATACTATGCATTAATCGTACTGTTGTGTTGATCAATCCCAATGATGTCATCATTCCCTGTAGCCCTGGTTACCACACCTTTAATTTCATTACCACTAAAATACTCATTACAAAAATGAGAATTTCAGTACAGAAGTTTTCTGCTTGGGCACCGATGTTATATCATACACAGCTTCCTTACGAATTGCACTTAGGAAATTGGTAAAAAAAAAAAAAAAAGAGGAAAGCAAACAAAGACTTGGCCCCCAAGTAAGCAGCATAAGGTTTTAGATTAGTGTTGTTATCGTGATCTCCGCCGGCCGGCAGGGTTTGGTTGGCGCGGCTCGAATTTACACATGACGTAGGACAAACTAAAGCGGGCGCAGAGCCAGCGGGGGGCGGGGCCTCTGCGTCATAGTGCGTCGCGAGCTGGCTGTCCTGTATAAGAGACTCCGACGAAGAAAGCGGCGATAAATTGCGTTAAGCTAACAGCAAAATCATCGAATATTAAAAAGTCAAGTTCGGTGTGAAGGCGAAGGGCGATCCCATCGATACCTTTCGCTTCAGCATAAGAATACAGCGAAGTATACGTGTTTTTCCGTCTTTCTGCTTTTTTTTTTGCGGAGCGGAATCTCGAGATTACCACTGTAACAAAGAAATCGCGGGCTAAAGAAGCGGCCACGGGACAGTGTATTCGGTACGGCGCCTTTGGCTTCCTGTTAGTGTCGTATAAAACCAGCGAAACCTTCTAACTCCGTTTCTTTAAGTATTTTTTATGTATTTAGACTTGACGTTCGTACCGCGTAGTCCTACTATGGTCATAATGGAGGTGCCAAGCATCGACTGCGCGATCTTTCGGGACTTGCTGAAAGAGAGCGGCTCCGGCTCCGGCTGCTTGGTGCTGGACTGTCGCTCCTTCTTTTCCTTCAACTCGTCCCACATCCCCGGCTCCACCAACGTGCGCTTCAGCACCATAGTGCGGCGCCGGGCGCGGGGCGGCTTGGGCTTGGAGCACATCCTGCCCAACGAGGAGACGCGGAGCCGGCTGGCGTCCGGCCACTACCGCACCGTCGTTTTCGTGGACGATCGCAGCCTGGACTTTAAGCAGGTCAAGAAGGACGGCACCTTGATGCTTGCCGTCACCGCCCTGTGTCGCCACCACTGCGATGCCTCGGTGTCTTTGCTCAAAGGTGAGCTGATGTTTTAAAATGTAACTGCAGTTTTACAGTAATTCTGGAGACACGCTTGTCACTGCTGTGTGACCTACCCATAGCCGGACTGGCAATTCGGGGTCGCTCTCGTATGTTCGTGTGACAGCTGAACTAATACCACCCCTCTCACTTGCTTAGGTGGCTTCGAGACCTTTTCCTCCAAGTTTCCTGAGATGTGTACCAAGCCAGCTCCACCACAAGGCTTGTGCCTTCCACTGAGCGCCAGCTGCGAGCCCAACAGCGCAGATTCTAGCTGTAGTTCCTGTCATACACCCCTCTACGATCAGGTAATAGACATGGATCACTGGGGGTCAAACCTTTGAACCTTTGTTAAATTTGATCTGAACTTAGTGAAACTTCGGTTGATGGTGTTGTCAAACTTGTGTCACTGACTTCTCTGTATGGTGCCCAGGGTGGTCCTGTGGAGATCCTGCCCTTTCTCTACTTGGGCAGTGCCTACCACGCCTCCAGGAAAGACATGCTGGACGCTTTGGGCATCACCGCCCTCATCAATGTCTCTGCCAACTGTCCCAACCACTTTGAGGGTCACTACCAGTATAAGAGTATTCCAGTAGAGGACAACCACAAGGCTGACATCAGCTGCTGGTTCATCGAAGCCATTGAGTTCATCGGTGAGTCTCCATATATCTCTGTCTATATGTGTGTATATATATATATGTAAACCTTGCACAGATGGCACGGTGAGCTGA